TGCACTTTTCAAACAATGCAATTACTCATAAATCCTGCAGCACGTCAAGGTATTTGCAAACCGTGATGGAGCATGCCAAAAGAACGTTCCATTGATTATACACAGCTGGGAATATCCCAAAAGAAAGAATGCAGAAGTCCGGTGAATTTAGTATTTTTTCAGGGCAAGTGATGCAAGGATCACATGATGGACAATGCAAACCATACAGTGAGCATAAAATGGGCGTGCAATGTGCAAACACAACATACCCACAGCAGAGCTCATTGCCACATCAAGTTTGCACTGCGCATAGTGCTACATGTTGCTAGTTCTTCATACAGCCTTCACCATTGTTGGCACACGGGGAAGAGGCATGGTTACTGGTTAGAAGACCCATTTCGCCTGGAAGGCCTTCACAAACTTCTGTCGCCATAAAGGAAAGAGGAAACAGAAGAATGGACAGAGGGCCATTCAAGAGGCAAAGAGCGTATGCAAAATTCGAGCTTTACACCTCTCTATTCACAAGCCTGCGCTACTTAGCACTTCGTGCCATTTTGCCCTATCTCTTCATAGCAAGGCGGTAGAACAAAAGGCTACAGCCATCCTTGGCCGCCTTCTGGCTCTATGGACGAAAAATAATTACTTCTCTAAGTAATTCTCAAGTCGGGCCCATTGTAAATCTCCACTGCTCAGTTCTGTAAATCGGACAATAAAGAGCGCTCCGGGTGGGTTATCTTGGTGGAACGGTATAAACTCCTGTAAACCATCCTGGAAAAGAAAAGATACCCTTGTGAAATAATTCTTCACCTATATTCACGGACGGGAATTTTAATTATAGCCCTCTCTGCAATCCCCCAGCCCCGATATTTTATTATGCCTGATGTGTTTTGCAGGACTCCACTGCCTGGAAGTTAAAGGTGCAGGGATAAAGAAAGTAAACATCTAGGTGTCAACAGTTATTTCCCACAGTGTTTTGGGAATAGGTGTGAGAAGGGATGACCAGTGGTGGAATTTGATTTCCAGAAAACTGGAAGCAAAACTGTGAAAAGCGATGATGGAGGAGGGTAGTCTGAGGCGGCAGTGCTCACTCACCAGCCATCAGCAACCCCTAGGAAAAAAAAACACCTAGCCTGAATCTCGGCTTATGAAGGGAGGGAAATGTGAATAAACTATGTGAGAAAACAAAATAGTATATGTAGAGTAGGAAAGGAGGCTTCGTATGAGAGGCACCGGGGAACGTGGAATTAAAAGAACTATCAATCAACAGAAGCATATTCTGCTTTCTGCCACACAGTAGATTTCAATCGGAAGAAAACATTGAACTTTGTAGCGTTAGCAGCAGCTGAAATTTAGAATTATTGTTTCCTCGTAACAGAAGACTCATTTTCCACGGCCGCATTTGCAGCATAATAAGCTTTTTGTTATTTTTTCAATTAGAGTCAATTGACCTAACAAAATGGTTGGCAATTAAGTGATTTTTGTAATGGTCCGGGGGTAATTTAGTCGAGCTTGTCAGCTGTGTTTCATGAAGCCGAGATGTCTTTTTTTCCCATTGCCTCTCTCTCTCCCTCCCCCCCCCCCTTCTCTCTCTCACTCTCTCACTCGCATAATGGCTCATAATTTCAAAATCTTTCCCTTCTGTTTCCCTCACAATAATTCGCAATTACAGGAAGTTGTTGGAGGTGATTTTTTCTCTCTTTCTACCTTGCCTTTTGAGTCAGTAATTTTAAATAAAATGCACATACTTGTAAAAAAAGAGAGAGAGAGAGAGAGAGAGAGAGAGAGAGAGAGAGAGAGAGAGAGGATTCAGGCTATTACCAAAATCACTTTTTTGTGTAAACTCAATTATTTTATGAATAGTGACACCAGTTTTTGTTGGCTTTACCAGCTTTAAAAGGCTGATGGATTATTATCTTCAGGCCAAAAGGACTGGAGCAGTCAGCACACGTTCCCCAAATCAAAACAGCATTCAGTAAAATAAAGAAAATGGTCCTCAAGTTCCAGGAGAGGTGAGAGATGTGAAGACATCTCCAAAAAATCCACCATCACCCTATGTAATCAGATGGACTTTAACTTCTCTTGTTTATGACTTGTAAAGGTGTCTCTCATTTGCTTAACTGGTTCATCCCTCTCTAGGTTAGCATTGTCTCTTCAAATGACACCTTTGCATCGTCATTTTTTATTTTTCAGAACTAATTGTGTTTGCAAAATACTGGGTGGCTGGGAGGGATTAAAGCTGTATCTCTAGCCCACAGCCTTTCCCCATAACATTCACAAGTACATTCTTGAATATAAACCCCATTTTTATCCCTCCCACCCCCCACTCAATATTGTATCCACAAATCAAATCGGCTCCTTAGTGGGAAGACAGGCTACACAGATAGTGTCAGCAGGGGGCACTGTTAAAGAGGCCAGTACCTTCAGAGGCCTCCTTTCTTGGAAACAAATCAATCGCCTCCAAAATATAGAGGTCGCCTTCTCTTTTCTGATTGGATGGAAAGAAACCATCCTTTTAACTTGACTAGCTGGGCTCAGCCAAAATCACATATCTGTAAGTATCACCTCTGACTCGGAGAAATACAAAGGTGAATTCGGAGATTCCTCCTTGTGTGAGATGTCAGAGGAATTCTGAGGAAGGCTCAAAGGGTTTTTGATGAAACCCACCCTAGGATCTGATGTCTTACTATACGCACCCAGAGGTGGTTACAAAAGAAAAAGTCCCCACCCACCAAGGAATAACACTAACGCATGGTATCAGTACACCAAAGGTTGAGCCATGTCAGATTCCCAACCGTACAGCAACCAGAAATCCAGAAATCACCTATATGCAAATCAGATGACTCAAGTGAGTGAGCCAAGCTGCAAAGTTCACCTCCAGTCACACACAGGCATGAATTAAGCATGTGAGAAACATAATCATGCAATTATGCATGTAAGAAGCATTCACTTTCAGAAGTCATTTTACATGGAGACAAGGAACTGTGGTCCTGGCTAGGAGTGACTATTGCTACTCCTCCACTGGCTGGCTGAGCAGTGATCCATACAATAATCTCTGTTTTTCACTAGGTGGGCAGGCAGGCTGGTTGTGAGCTTGCCTTGGCCTGGCGGCAGCAGTTGGTGAGCAAAAGTGAGCAATTTCTCACTTCTCCAGCCGAGTAATGTGTAGAACTGAGGTAAAGCATCCATAAAAAGGCTTATCAGTATCCTTAAAAAGCAGAGCAAAACAATTTTAGAGGTTTTAAAAATTGTAGATGTTTCAGATTTCGGGGAAAGCGTGATAAACACCATTCAGGGTATAGAGTTGCGCACCTATAAAAATGTACATATATATAGCTTTCAAAACTATAATGTTGACAATCTTGCAACTTGTATGAATTGTGTCAGTCCTCTGCTAGTACTGTGCCTTTAAGGTAGCAGCAACATCGAAAAGATCTTCCTAGCCCAGGAGTGGGGAACATCGGGCCCTCCAAATGTTGCTGAGCTATTGAACTCCCATCTGCTCTGCCCATTGGCTATGCATGCTAGGGCTGGTGGGAGTTGTAGTTCATCTGCATGAATGACCAAGATGATCTGTGGTCTGGAAACCAAGTCTTGTGAGGAACAGTTGCGAGAGCTGGACATGTTTACCCTGGGAACAAGGAGAACTCAGAGGAGATATGGCAGCTATCTTCCAATATCTCAAGGGCTTTCACACGGAAGATGGAGCAAGCCTGTTTTCTCCTGCTCTGGAGAGCTGGACCCGTACCAATGGATTCCAGTTACACGAAAGAAGATGTCAACTAAACACCAATAATAACTTTCTGATGGCAAGAGCTGTTTGACAGTGGAATGGTCTTCCTCAGGAGGTGGTGGACTCTCAGTTCCTGGAGGTTTTTAAGCAGAGGTTGGATGGCCATCTGTCATGCTTTAGTTGAGATCCCTGCATTGCAAAATGCCACAATGCTATGATTCTGTGAACATTTGGTTAGCAAAAGATTCCCCACTCATGATCTAGCCTGACGTAGATACTCCTTTGTAACATGTTTGTTAGTCCTAATGAAGGTATTCCCTGAGCGTTGGTGTTGGGATTAATCCATATTTAATATATACGTTGGATACATCCCATCATTTTCTTTATGACTGACAATGTTCTTTTGCTGGGGCATGAGTAAGGAGGGGAAAACATTATTCTCTAGACTAGACTAGAATTTGACTTGTGTCTCCAGAGTCTTGATTAATCCACAACACCTAACCTCCCTCCACCCTGTCAACCGCCGCCCCCCCTCAAAAAAACATACACCATAGACTATAAAAGGAAAAGTTATGGTTCTGAATGAGCATCATGCAAGGGAGGGGGGGGGAAAGGAAGCAAAGCATAAAGTATTAAACTTTCATCTGGCACCATAGGAGAGATGTAGTTATTAAATTTCAGCTGCTTATCGAACTGATATGAAAGTCATTTTGCATGATTGCTTTGCATCCTCAAATCTTCTGCTTTTATTTGCTGTGCATCTCTCTGCTTTCTTATTAGAGAAATACTCAAAGGATGAAAAAGCTGATAATATTATTCAGTTTTGACAATTAGGTGGAGGAAAAAAACATTTTAAGAAGTGCTTTTTTTATTGCAGCTAGTAATAATATTGGTGGTCCTCCTGGTAGCAGTCTCGGCTGATGTTCCCCAGGAGTGATGCTCGTTTTTTACTCTGGAACTGCTAACGCCCTGGTGGTTCGACTGGGGAAGCTGTTAGGAAGCTTGGCCAGGGATGTCAGTCTCAATATCGTAAATGTCATGTGCAGCCTTACTTTACACAGCCTTCAGAAGTGTCCTGATTCTTTTAGCGTTTCTCCCTTATGTGAGAATCGGCGACCACTTCCTCGATCCTGCCTCCCGCTCTCTACAGCACATCAATCAGAATGACAACCATTTGGCTACTCATGTACACAGAAACCTGTGGTACGTACTCATTGTTCACATCCACTGTCGTGCCCCAGAGAGTGAAAACACATGGTTGTTCTTTAGGGAACAGTAGGGAAGAACCTGCCTGGCCACCACCCTCTGTGATTTGATGGGTAGCAGCGTAGGAGAGGGACTTGTCTGTGGTGGTCCCCAGGTGGAGGAATGACCTCACTTCCAAGGAGCTTTGCTGTATCCGTTTCAAGGATTGGCACCTCTTTGCCCAGGCCTTTGGATGTGTGGGTACCTTCACTCCTCCTGCTGTGCCCTGTTGCTGTTTTGTCATTCCGATATTGGTTGTTTTTGTGGTTTTATTTTGTGATCCTAGTTTGAATTGTGATCTCCCTGGAACATCTAGCAAAGGGTGGGAAATAAGTGAAAATACTAAATAAATACAAGTCAGTTGCAGCAAGCACTTCCAACCCCAGCCTCTGGCATTTTGCTGCCCTCCTAGCCTTTTTAATTTCGAACCTCTCAAAATGTTGACCCAGCCAGTGGTTCCCACTAAAAACCAAACTGATTATGCCATCCAAATCAGACTGAGACATCAATATGTGTTTGTGTGTGTGTGTGTGTGTGTGTGTGTGTTTGTGTGTCAGGGGAAAGGTTCACACTTCCTTGACCCCCAGTTATGATCCCAGAGAATATACATGTGTACACACACACACACACACAGTGCTCCTCCCCCCCGGGGTTACTCAAGGGTATGGAGTACCAGCACTCCCCCCCCTTTAAAGAAAAGCACTGCATACACCTACTATTTAACTTTTAAAGAACAGCAGTACAAATATCCTGATTTCACATCCATGTCCTCCTGTGCTTTGGGGAAAGTGGAGGGCCTGCCATGAGTTCCTGCAGGAGGAAAGGTGACATAAATAATACTAATAATATGGGGTGCAGTTAAGATGGGTGTCAAACCTTCCACACTGTTTGTGCTGTAGATGGGTGACTCTGTCCATTTTGGTTTCTATTGGTTTATGATCCTCTGCCCCAATTTTAAGTTCAGTTTGCCACATTTCTGCATCAGTTTGCCAATTTCCTTTAAAAATAGTCTCCATAACTATTCACCAGCATTTCAATGTGCGTTCCTAACTAATGTGCATTTGTTTGCAATAGTTACTATTACATTCAATTTTGCGTCAGCTCTTGAAATACAGTCATACCTCATGTTATGGAAGTTTTGGGTTACGTGTTTTCGGGTTGTGGACTGCAGGAAACCCGGAAGTACTGGGACAGGTTACTTCCAGGTTTCGCCGCTCACGCATGCGCAGAAGCACTAAATCGTGCTTTGCGCATGCACAGAAGCGCCAAATCGTGCCTGCGCAGATGCGGCGCTTCAGGATGTGAATGCTGCAGGTTGTGGACGTGACTCCGTCACGGATTACGTATACAATCCGAGGTTCCACTGTATTGCCTTCCTGTATGTCATTTACACTAATATGTGCATTTTTATACAGACTTTCTCCTAAGATGCACATTTCAACAGACATTTTTCGTCAGGAGTTGCTGAATCACAAAATTCAGAGAAGGGCACGTTTGGAAGGAGAGCGGTGTTTCGGTTCGTGCCTTGTTTGGGAGATGCAAGCTGAACCAAATTTCTCCCGTGTCCCTATTCCTGGCTGAGATGCTGCCGCTGCTAACACCGGGGTGGAAGGGAAGGAGCTGCTTCTGCTCCCACATCAACTGCCTTCTCATTTGCAGCCTATTGACTTTCACCCACAGTAGCTAATAGCTCCCATTGATTTCTGCGGAAGAAACAAGATGCCGCCAATCCTAATGATGGGAAGTTTTCTAGTGACTAGAAATAAAGAGCAGCTTAAGGAGCTGGAGATGTCTCTCTTGGAGTCTTTTTGGAAAGGCGCGACTTGAAGCCTTGCCCAATGGAAGTGACAAAATGCAGACACGAAATATTCAGTTTGCAGGGTCCTTAGCACTAGCTGGTCTTTGCTGTTTTGTCACTTTGGGGGCCTACAAAAGACACCAGGCTTATCTACACTGACCTTTCCTCTGCAGTTTGCAGGCATGGTCTTCTGAGCGCTTCCACCCACCCATCCACCCTTCCCTCCCAGAGCTTTCCCCACAAGAATCCTCCTTTTAAAGCTCTGTTGGAACAAATGCCAATCCACAGAAAGCCTGAATCAATGTTTGCTTCGATACAGTTTTAAAGAGCAGGTTTTCGTGGGGAAAGTTTGTGGGGTTGGAACCTCTACCAGGAAAGAATGGAGGCATGATAAGTGTGGATATGTCCCCTGCCTACATTTTTTCAGATGCAGCCCTGGGACCATGAGGGCTAAATGAATATGAGCTCCTTTGTGTTTGCCCCTTGGTTCGAAGAAAGAAATCACGGCAAGGACTGTAGGACGTGGTTTCTTGAAAGGAATTCAATGACTACAAGGGACTGGAGAGAGCAGCTCACCCAATGCTTGCCAGCCGATGCTCCATTTCCCAACATCTTCACTGAGCTTCCTGGAGCAGGTGTTTAGAGTGGCCCTGTTCACTGTGTACAGTCTTCTGTTTGATGGTCAGTCTGGTCTAAGGCTGGTTTAAAGATGAAGCATCTTCAGAAGGGAGAGCAGGAAGGTATGAAATTATCCACCAACAGTTTAGCAGTAGACTAGTGAGATGTATTGGATTTCTATTTAAATTATAGCATTTTTTATTTTTAAAAATGCATCAACAGATGTAAATTAACAAATGAAAACTCACTGCAAACCCGTTTGCTCTTTTGTCTTGTTCGGTGATGTATTTCATTTTCTTTGTTGGCATTCCATGGTGGCCACCCTGAAGCTGTTGCCTCTATGAACAGGAGTATCATCAGAAACTATCCTTCGGCTGCCAGGTGCCAAGCACCCTAGCAGGAGTTGCAGTTGCTGCATGCTCTCAGCTCCCCTTAGCATTCCACTGCTGCCCAAGTTCTGGCCCTCTGTGCCACTCCAGGCACTTGGATCTAGCAGTCCTGTTAATCTCACAGATAGCCGGCGATGTAGCGTCACTCTAGTGCAGGGGTCGGCAAAGTTTTTGCGGCTTGGGCTGGTTCATGGTCCTGCAGACGCCGAGGTGGGCCACAGCACACACACACACACATACACACACGAACATAGCGCGGAGCTTCCTGCAGCCAATGGGAAGCTGCCCAGCGTCACGGAAGGTGGTCCCCACTCCACTCCACACCAGTTTAGCGCAGTGCACGGGAGCTGACCAAGCGGGCAGCAGGAGTCCACGAGTAGGTGGCAGGGGTCCACGGGCCGGTTAAACGACCCCCATGGGCTGCTTGTGGCCCATGAGCCAGTGTGGTGTAGTGGTTAAGAGCGGTAGACTCGTAATCTGGTGAACCGGGTTCGCTTCCCCGCTCCTCCACATGCAGCTGCTGGGTGACCTTGAGCTAGTCACACTTCTCTGACGTCTCTCAGCCCCACTCATCTCACAGAGTGTTTGTTGTGGTGGAGGAAGGGAAACGAGAATGTTAGCTGCTTTGAGACTCCTTCGAGTAGTGATAAAGTGGGATATCAAATCCAAACTCTTCCTCTTCTTCTTCTAGATTGCCGACCCCTGCTCTAGTGCAGTGTGAGAAATTTAAAGGGTGTCTATAGAGTTGGCTCCGTGCATTTGTCAGCATCTGGGGATATAAGGGCTCACTTATAAAGGACTGGGCCTCTCAGGACCTTCTCAAATCTGAAGCTTCCCAGCCCTGTGCATGGAGACCTTGGTTTAATGATGGATTTCCCATACAGAAGGCCCCATGTTCAGTTCCCACGCCCGGTCAGAAGCACCCCAAATGCTAAGATTTCAGGGCTCAAACTTGAGATCTAGGGGTGGCCTCTGGCGATGTCACAAAGGATGGGTGATGTCGCCAAGCCAGGCACTTTAAGCATGCGCCAGTCACCCAGAGCATGCCAGCAATCCCAGAAATTCTGTGCAATAATTGGCGACCCTCTCCTGCAGGTCTCAAGCTCCAGCAAGCTGCATACACAGCAATAATAAATAAGTAAAGTGAGGTGCTCTTGACCACCTGCACAGTCAAGCTCTCCTCTTGCCACATGGGTGGGGGGCAGGCAAACCTGGAGACTTCAGGTCAGCCCAGGGGACTCTGGCAACCTTAGCCTTTGGCTTCTCCCCTTGCAAAAGGTTGCGTAGAAAATGGCATGAAAGCCCTTCTGCCTGGAACCCTGGAAAGCTGCTGCCAATCACAGCATGGAATATTAGGTTAGACTGACAAACCCTCTGACCTGGTAGAAGGCGGCTTCTCATGCATCCTCGGAGAGGCAAGGCATTGCTTGGTCAGGTGCCAATCCTGCCACAACATAGGCCTGATCAGTGGCAGTTGAAGCAGCAAACCAAGGGTAAACTGCTGCCCTGATTGCTCATGAATACAATGCTTGCTTTACAGTGTGTAATGCATGGGTCAAACCTTTTTTTATTTCAACCCTTGTATTAATACGTTGTATTCAGTTTCAAGATAATCATTATTATCTCCAGGAGAGCATAATGGTTTCTCCGTAGCATATGCACTTTATGTTTGTGGTAAATTTTGTGATTCAAAATTATAGGCCTGTGGAATAGTTTATTATTATAACCATTCAGTGGTGAAAAACTGTCAACTATTGTAACGTGTCAATGCTATGGGTAAGTGGTTAGATTCTACATGGTATATACCAAGCAGTGTGTAACCTGATATTTTGTTGATTTGAGGGTGTGTGTTTTTTTGTTTGTTCTTTACTTGTTCTTTTCCCCAGAGGCTGTGGAAGGGGATCAGAATTTAAGAAGAGTGGCATGAATCAAACTATTAAAGTTTTTAAAGCCATGTTGCAAAGCAAAAATGGAAACAACATAGGAACTTTCTAATTGTCTTTCTGGATCAGATAAAGAAGTCGCTCAGCAGTAGAGCATATGCCTTGCAACACTGAACTAAGTAGACTGGTGGTCTCATCCAGATTAAAGCGGCTTCCTGTGCCTTTCTACCATTATTATTATTTTTTCCACAGCTGTGACCAGGTAGATTTCTCTGAAAAGATCACAAGTAGAGTGTGATAGAGAAAGCCGTCAGTCTGTTGCTTGGCTCCAACACCCAGTAAGCATAAGCTAACTTGGGATTGCCCTTGAGACTGACCCAGAATTCGGCGGTGAGACTCCTTTTGAGGTCCTTGCCATAGGATCACATTCACCCCGGGCTATACCAGCTGCACTGGCTCCAGGTGAAGTACAGGCTCAGGTTTAAGGTGCTGGTTTTAACCTTTAAAGCCCTATACGGCCTAGGACCCTCGCACCTACGGGACCGCCTCTTCTGGCATGTCCCACGGAGGACCTTACGGTCTTCAATTAAAAACATCTTGGAGATCCCGGGCCACAGGGAGGCT